TAGCCATTTGGGGGAGTAAACCAGCAGACAGAAGATTTCTCTCTCTCTCTCCCCTACTCTCTCTGTAACTCTGCCTTTCAAATAAATAAAACAAAGCTTTAAAAAACACACACACACACACAATTCTGTTGGGGCAGGCATGTGGCTTAGTGGTTAAGGTGTCAGTTAAGCCCACATCCCACAGTGCAATACCTGGGTTCCATACCCACCTCTGCCGCTGACTATGACTGCTTGCTAATATAAACCCTGGGAGGCAGAGGTGACAACTCAAGTCACTGGGTTCCTGTCACTCGCCTGGAAGACCCAGGCTGAGTTCCTGGCTCCCAGCACAGGCCCAGCCCCGCCCAGCCCAGCTTTATCTCTTGTGGAATTGGAGGAATAAGCCAGATCAGAGCTCTGTCTCTCTCTTACATAAATTCTTAAAAATAAATTAAAACATCTGCTTTGCAAAAGATACTTAAGAGAATGAAAAGACAGGGTAGGGGAAAATCTTTACAAAACACCTATCTGATAAAAGGCTTGTGTCTAAAACTCAACTGGGGGGAAAAAAAAAAAAACAGGGGCAGGCATTCAAACTAGTAGCCATGATGCACATCCCACGTAGGAGGGCCTGGGTTTGCTCCTGGCTCCGGCTCCTGACTCCAGCTTCCTGCTAATGCCGCCCCTGGGAGGCAGTGGGGACGGCTCAAGTAATTGAGTCCCTGCCACCCACGTGACAGCTGGAGTGATGAGCTCCTTGTGCCCAGCTTGGCCTGACCTAGTCCTGGCTGTTGGCAGGAATTTGAGGAGTGAACCAGCTGAACAGAGCTTTCTCTCTGTATGTGTGTGCGTGTGTCTGTATATATCTACCTTTTGAATAAATAAATAAATAATTGAAAAAGGGCAAAATATTTAGACAGACGTCACTAGAGATGATATGTAGATGGCAAACAAGCAGACAAAAACATGCTGAGCATCAACATCACTAGAGAATCGTCAATTAGCACAGTAATGAGACTTCTGCACACCTACCAGAATCACTCAAACAAATTTTTTAAAAATTGACAGTACAGGGGCTGGCACCATGGCTCACTTGGTTAATCCTCCACCTGCGGTGCCAGCATCCCATATGGGTGCTGGGTTCTAGTCCTGGTTGCTCCTCCTCCAGTCCAGCTCTCTGCTGTGGCCCGGGAGGGCAGTGGAGGATGGCCCAAGTGCTTGGGCCCCTGCACCCACATGGGAGACCAGGAGGAAGCACCTGGCTCCTGGCTTCGGATCGGCACAGCGCCAGCCGTGGCGGCCATTTGGGGAGTGAACCAACGGAAAGGGAAGACCTTTCTCTCTGTCTCTCTGTCTATAACTCTACCTGTAAAAAAAAAAAAAAAAAAAAAAAAACCTGACAGTACTAAACGCTGACAAGGAGGCAGAGCAATGGGAATTCTCATTCTTTGCTGGTGCAAATGCAAAGTGGGACAGCCACTTTGGAAGACAGCTCCGCAGTTTCTTACAAAGTAAATATAGCCTCACCATGAGATCCAGCGAGCACTGCTGGGTATTCACCCAAATGAGTTGAAAATGTATCCTTATAAAAGTCTGAACACAGCTGTGTTTTATTCATACTTGCTAAAAATTGGAAGCAACCAAGACGCCCCTCAGTGAATGTATACCCAGACAACAGAATGCTCGGTGATGCTATCAAGCCACAAAAAGCCATGGAGGAAACTTAAATGCATACTATTTAGTGAAAGAAACAAGTCTGAAAAGACCACCTACTGCACAGTTCCAACAATATGCCATGCTGAAAACTCAAAACACAGAGGCAGGGAAAAGACTGGGCTGTCTGGGGTAGAGGTTGGGAGGGATTCATAGAGGGAGTGGGGGTGTCCAGGGCAGGAGACTCTGGATGCTGCCACGGATGAAGGACATGATAGATCAGACAGGGGACAGACAGCAAGATGGTCTCTGAAGCTATGGATGTCCATTAATAGTAATGTGTTCATCCATACGACGCGAGCCTGGGAGGCGTGCAGGGGGAAAGAAGCAGTATACAGAACCTCTGCACTATCTGATGGACCTACACCTGCTCTGAACACTATGCCATTCATGTTTTTAAAAGAAATACGAGTAAGTTGGAACAAAAGCAGGAAGGAGATCAGACAGCCACACAAAACTTGACCAGAAAGACAATGGCTGCTAGCACACAGGCTCAGTTCCTTCCAGTCATTTTTCAAACGTCTCTGTCACTTTTCTTAAGAGTTGCAGTCCCTCTGCTAAACCCATTCTGAAGGCTGATGGTCTGGTTTTGTGTGGATTTCTAACCACAAGGAAAGTAACCCATATAAACTATTGGTGATACCAAAAACAGATCCTACAGGGGCCAGTTGCTATGGGAATGATTGAAAATAAATTTCATTTCACACTACACCCTGCTAATGTGCTGACCAGAAGGAAGGAGAAATATTTGGAGTAACTCAGAGGAGCAGCTGAGAAAACTTCTAATCACAAAGAAGGAAAACATAGCAGCCCCGCAAGGATTCAAGGAGGCCAGGAGCATCCGTCAGTAATGTGACCGCATGTGCCCTTTCAGTGACCATGCCCATGGTCAGGGCAGGGCTGGCAGGCTGTGGAAGCCCCCAGGAATCCAGACCGGGGTGGTCTCATGCCTTCAATGACAGTTCAAGGTCAAGGGCCAGCCTCCCCTTCGTACGTGGGCCATCTCTGCAGGGCCAAGGGAAAAAAGCCACACCTTCCAGCCAATGGAGACACTCCCAGCGGCTAGCAAGCTGCCAGTGTGGGGACCACAGTGTCCTAAATCTGGGACTGGGTGCCAGAGCCCCTTCTGTGCAGGGGTTGACCATTGAGCACTGAATCATCTGGGGCTCAGGGAGAGGGACCAAGATGACAGAGAGCAGGAAACACCAGGGTGTTCAAGGCAGTGACGATCTTCCAACAAAAGAATTATAACATATGAAGTGATGAGGCCAGATCGGCACGTGCCAACTGCACTCTGACCTTTCTACAACCAACACTGTTAGAAAAGAACACACATCGGGGCGGGCAGTGTGGCACAGTGGGCAAAGTCGACACCTGTGATGCTGGCATCCCTTACGATCACTGTTCAAGTCCCAGCTGCTCTGCTTCCACTCCAGCTCCCTGCTAATACACCTAGGAAAACAGCAGAAGATGGCCCAAGTGCTTCAGCCCCTGCACCCAGCTGGGAGATCTGGATGGAGCTCCAAGCTCCTGGCTTCAGCCCGCCCCAGCCCTAGCCACTGTGGCCATTTGGGGAGTGAGCCAGCAGATGGATGGAAGATGTCTCTCTCTCTCTCTCTCTCTCTCTCTCTCTCTCTCTCTCTCATTCTCTAACTCTGTCTTTCAAATAAATAAAAAATAAATCATTAAAAAACAACAACAACAAAGAACACACATAAAAGGCAGCTTCATACAGAAAAGGTGGAGTCACTATGCCAAATAGACACCATGGAACGTGAGAACAGGCCCAGCTCCCACCTCAGAGGATGGCTCGGCTTTAGGCGCAAACAGATCCACGGTCACATCCACAGGTGCGATCGTCTTTGAGCTTCGGCTTCCTTATCTGTACAGCGGGTGTGATTGCTCTTACCTCATGAGGTGGTGATAAGGACTAAACAAGAAGAGCTAAGTGCTAAGCACGAGACCTGGCACACAGCAAGGGCTCAGTGTGATGCAGTCACCGTCGCCCCCATCACCACCAGTGGAGGTCATCGTGAGAGACAGCATGCTTTTGTTCTGTGTTTTTAACACAGCTGATAAACCCTTGCCCTGTCCAGATTCCAATGGAGATGCCTGGGAACTGTCGCAGCACAAAGACAGAGTCCTGAAGTGTGAAATATCAGGCAGTTCCTTGTTTCCACAGCATCCTAGGAACAGCCCTGTTCTCTGGAAAGAAGTGAAGACTTTCAAGGGCAAACCACCACAAATCAGAAAAGTGCAAAGTCAGGGACATCCTGGGTGACAGCTCCTCACACAGAGGGTAGCATTTAGGGTTAAGGTTGCTGAGAGGAAAACCCAGGATTTTATTAAATGGTGATTGATTACAAATATATGACACCATTCCCAAAAGGTGCAAGGCTATACTCACTGCCTATTTTGTGTACGTGTAGTTAATAGATTCATATTTTTATTTTGGGGAAAAATTTAATACAGAAAACCATCATCAAACACACCTCCCATCTCCCAGAAATGGCAATTGTTGACATTGGTTATAATACACCAAGTCTTTTAAAAAAAAGTGAGAAAGAAAAAAAGAAAGTATGACAGATAAAATCAGTTATTAGTCTTCCCTAATCCTAGATGCACTCTGCCCACTCTCTTAACCACTGATACCAATTTGATTGGTTGTATTTTTTTACTTTGCTTCACCTAAATGTTCTGGCTTTCCTTATAAGTAGAAATAAAATAAAAGGAAATGTAGCAAATGTGCTGAGTGAGGGGCCGGAGATGTGCTGTAGCAGGTAAAGCTGCTGCCTGCAAGGCTAGCATCCCACATGGGCACCAGTTCGAGTCCTGGCTGCTCCACCTCCCATCTAGCTCTCTGCTATGGCCTGGGAAAGCAGCAGAAGATGGCCCAAGTGCTTGGGCCCCTGCACCTTTTAGGAGAGCTGAAGGAAGCTCCTCGCTCCTGGCTTTGGACTGGCTCAGCTCCAGCTGTTGCAGCCATTTGGGGAGTAAACCAGTGGATAGAAAACATCTCTGTCTCTGTCTTGTCTCTCTCTCTCTCTCTGACTCTGCCACTCTGTAACTCTACCTTTCAAATACATAAACATGAATCTTGAAAAATGTGCTGAGTGAAAAAATCCTTATGAAGAGGGGCTAAAGAAGGCATCTGCGGAGCTGCCCCAAGACTGACCCATGTACCTGCTCAGGAGTGGCCCCTCCCGACCAGCAGGCAATGCCTGGGAGGGGGAGGGGCAGAGTCAGCCAGTTCACATCTTTAGACACACACCAGCAGAGCAGATGCACCAAAACCTCAAAAGGCTTACCTGGGTCCAGGTGGCTGAAAGAGCCCACCACAAAGTCCAGCGTGGACACGGCCAGCAGGAGCAGCAGCAGCAGCTGGAGGCGGATGATCCACTTGACGCCCGCCAGGTTAATCCCCAGCAAGGCCAGGAGCACGGCCACCGAGATACCTCGCACGGCCCAGATGTCCCCGAGGCCCAGCAAATCCGAGATGGACTCAGCAAAGCCGGTGATGTACATGGCACCTGCAACACACTGATGGGGGAGTCCAGGTAGGCAGGGCCGGCCAGACAGCAGAGCCCCGGGAGCCGGCCCCCACCCCCAGCTCTGCTCCCCTACGACTCCAAACGCCCCCAGGCCCAAATCCAAGCTGTCAGTGGTAGCTCAGATGAAAAGACTGTGGGAGGAATGGCTGGGACTCTGGGCCAAAGAGGCCTTTAGAGTTCTGGGTCTGCATCACTCAGGTACTAAATACAGAACAAGAACACCCAGGGGGTCCTGGACAGAGCCACACAAGGGCACCACAGCAAACCACAGGGCTTTTCCATTTCTTTGTTGCTCAGTATTATTTTTACCATTATCTAAAGCTTGGAAGTGGGGGGGGGGGGTGGCCCATCTTTTCACATCACACGCAACAAAGACCACCCAAGACTGCCCAGGTGAATGTACTTAGCTCCACTCACTGGCTGCTAATTAAGTGTAATGAATGTCCTTGGCTTAGGGATGTTGCATATTAACTTACAAATATTTTCCCAGTAGAGATGCAAATAACTTCTACCCCATGGAACAGATAATCCAAAAGATGAGGTTTTTTGTACTGTAAGACATGAACTAATCTCGTGCCTAACCTAGCAGTCTTACCCTCACATTTGTTTATGAAGTTGCCCAGCCATGAATACATGGATTTGATCTTCATCCCACACAGGGTCTGGATCTATATACTCAACTCCTCTTTAATATCTTACTGCCTTTTCCATTAATTCATGAGTTAAAAAGTCTTTGGTATGCATCTATTTTACTTGTGCTTGAGGGTCATGGTTTTATCTTCCTGGAAATATTTGAAAAATACTTCAAACAGTTGAAAATAACACCAGCCTCATTTTGTGCCTGTCCTCGGCCTCAGCCCCCCTTCTGCTAAGGCCAGCAGGACTCTTCACGGCAGATCTAAGTCAGACATGACAAGATGGGGGGCACGGATCAGCTCAGAGAGCCTCAAACCCACGGAGCGCGCAACGCCAGAGCCCGATGCGCCATCTGCTCCTGTGTTTCCTCAGCTGGAGAACAGGGCTGGCTCCCCCGAGGCGAGCCATGCTGCAAAGGCTGCCTTTCTCTCCAGGCACTCCAGGAGAGACTCTCTCTCTCTCTCCATTCTGCACCTAAGGTTGCCTTCCTGCCCACAGACGCCAGCGACAGGAGGAGAAAAGGCTCTCGGGATTGCTTGACAGTGCCCGTGGTCAGGAGCGTGGGCTACGAGACCAGCGACCTGGGGAAGGGTCCTCCCCACACTGGGCTTCCCTTCCTTGCCTAAGAAACGCAGAGGCTGACACTGCTTACTTCCCACGGCCGTGAAGATTCAGCGAGACCATTCACGCAGAGTGCTAGAACAATATTTGGCTCCCAGTTGAGTGATAGAAATGACCGCTATCGGCATTTTCATTACTTTATTATTATTAGCTCCTGAAGAAGAGAAATGGTAGTTGGCAATGAATATCATAAAATATAGTTACTTCAGGGGCTGGCGCTGTGACACAGCGGGTTAAAGCCCTAGCCTGAAGCGCCAGCATCCCATATGGGTGCCAGTTCTAGTCCTAGCTGCTCCTCTTCCAATCCAGCTCTCTGCTATGGCCTGGGAAAGCAGTGGAAGATGGTCCAAGTGCTTGGGCCCCTGCACCCGCCTGGGAGACCCAAAGGAAACTCCTGGCTCCTGGCTTCTGATCAGCGCAGCTCCAGCCATTGCGGCCATCTGGGGAGTGTACCAGCAGATGGAAGACCTCTCTCTCTCTGTCTCTACCTCTCCCTGTAACTCTGTCTTTCAAATAAATAAAATAAATCTTTAAAAAATATATATAGTTACTTCAAAAAGTCTGTGGAGAGACCAGCATTGTGGTGTAGTGGATAAAGCTGCGGCTTGTGCCACGGGCATCCTATGTCTGAGTGCTGGTTCCATTCCACTTCCAATTCAGTTTCTTGCTAGTGCACTTGGGAAAGCAGATGGCCCAAGTACTTGAGCCCCGTCACCCACGTAGGAAACCCAAATGGAGTTCCTGACTCCTGGCTTTGGCCTGGCTCAGCCCTGCCTATTGCAGCCATCTGTATAGTGAACCAGCAGATGGAAGATTGCTCTATGTCACTCTCCCTTTCAAATAAACAAATACTTTGTTTCTAAGTTCATGGAATATGGGCCCAGTACTGTGGTACAGTGGATTAAGCTGCCACCTGCACCACAGGCATCCCATATGGGCACCAGTTCATGTCCTGGCCGCTCCACTTCCAATCCAATCCCTGCTAATGAGCTTGGGAAAGCAGCGGAATATGACCCAGGTACTTGGGCCCCTGTACCCACGTGGGAGACTGTGATGAAGATCCTGGCTTCAGCCTGGCCCAGCTCTGACTGTTGTAGCCAACTGGGGAGTGAACCAACAGATAGAAGATCTACGTCTCACCTTCTCTCTCTTTCAAATAAATAAATACTTAAAGAAAGAAAAAAAAAGTTAATAGAATAGGGGCCGGTGTTGTGGCACAGCAGGTAAAGCTGCCGCCTGCAGTGCTAACATCCCATATGGGCACCGGTTCAAGTCCCAGCTGCTCCACTTCCAATCCAGCTCTTTATTATGGCCTTGGAAAGCAGTAGAAGATGGCCCAAGTCCTTGGGCCCCTGCACCCACATGGGAGACCTGGATGAAGCTCCTGGCTTCGGATCGGCGCAGCTCTGGCCGTTGCGGCCATCTGGGGACTGAACCAGTGGAAGGAAGACCTTTCTCTCTGTCATTCTGTCTGTCTATAACTCTAGCTGTCAAATAAATTTTAAAAAATATTTTTTTAAAAAAAGATGGCAATGACTGTGAAAACTGGGACAGTAAAAGTGTCATGCAGCTTTATTTCATATTTGCTGGTGATAGCATGTCTTGGTTGGAAAGTATAACTGGAAAATAAAAGCTTAATTACAGCTTCTAATGATAGATGATAACTACTAGAAGAACTAAAAACATAGGACTTCCAAATCAACCAGGGGAAAAACACAATAGAAATGTAGATCCATACTGGTAGTAGGAGAAATGAAAATAAAGGCAATGCTTTATGCTAAAACTCAAGAAGCACAATTAAACTTGTATGGAGGGAAGAGGAGGAATGTCTTAAATGTATTTCTAAACTAAAAAAGGAAGAAAAATAAAGTTAAGAACACATAGGGGTGGGATTTGGGCCAGTGGTTAAAACATCTGCATCCCCTATCAGAGCACCTGGATTCAATCCCAGCTCCGCCTCCTGACTCCAGTCACCTGTGAATACAGGCCCTGGGAGGCACTGGTGATGGCTGAAGTAGAACCTGCCAGCCACATGGCAGACCTGGATTGAGTTCCTGGCTCCTAGCTTCGGCCTGGTCAAGCCCCAGCTGTTGCAGGTATCTGGGGAATAAACCAAGCAGATGGGAGCTCTGTCTGTCTCTCTGTCCCTCAAATAAATAAATAAAATATAAAAATTAAAAAGAGGCCATAGGGGCCAGCACTCTGGCACAGTAGATAAAGCCACCACCTGTGGTGCCAGCATCCCACATGGGCGCTGCTTCGAGTCCCAGCTGCACCACTTTTTTTTTTAAAGATTTATTTTATTTACTTGAAAGAGTTACAGAGAGAGGTAGAGACAGAGAGAGAGAGAGGTCTTGCATCCTCTGGTTCACTCTCCAGACAGCCATAATGGCCAGAGCTGAGCCAATCTGAAGCCAGTTGCCAGGAGCTTCTTCCAGGTCTCCTATGCGGGTGCAGGGGCCCAAAGACTTGGGCCATTTTCCACAGTTTTCCCAGGCCATAGTGAAGAACTAGATCAGAAGAGCAGCTGGGACTAGAGCCAGCACCCATATGGGATGCCAGCGCTTCAGGCCAGGGCTTTAACCTGCTGCACCACAGCACCAGGCCCCTCACTCCCAGCTGCACCACTTCTGATCAAGCTCCCTGCTAATGTACCTGGGAAAGCAGGGGAAGATGGCCCAAGTACTTGGGCTCCTGCACCCACATGGGAGACCTGGAAGAAGCTCCTGGCTCCTGGCTTTGGACTGGCCCAATTCCGGCTGTGTGGCCATTTGGGGAGTGAACCAGCAGATGGAAGATTCTCTTTTCTCACGCGCGCGTGCTCTCTCTCTCTCGTCTCCTTTTCTGTAACTCTTTCAAATAAATAAGTCTTTTAAAAAAAGGCCATAAAAAGGTCACCATACAGAGAGAAGTATTTAGAAATATGAAATTAATACAATAGAAGAAAAAATAACTGAAGAAAGGAGACAAAAGCCAAAAGTTGATCCTTTAGAAAATAAAATAGAATGGCAAAAAATGTCCTACATGAAAGACCTTGGTGGGTGAGATTCCAGTGGTCATCAAAGGAGGCGGTGCTTTTCTCTGAAGGAAGGAGAGAACTTCCACTTTCCTTACGGCCTTGTCTAAACACTGATGGAGTTTGTGGATTCAAAAGGCTTCCATAGCCTTGGCAGCTCACGTCGGGAGCCTCAGGTGATCACTGACATCATACACAAGAGTGTTAATTGTTAAATTAACAACAGGAGTCACTGTGCACTAACTTCCCATGCAGGACCTCCATCCTCAATGAGTTGTATTGTAATTATGTCTAAGTGCTTGCAAAAGATGTATCATTCTTGGGTGGCTTCTTTAAAGTTAATTAAGTTTTTAAAAGAAAAGAAGTGAAATTAACTTCAAGATGCAATGACTTTGAATAGCCTTTGCCTCAACAGTTGAGGAACAGTTTTGTTTTTGTTTCTGTTTTTTGTTTTCATGCAAATTGTTGAACTCTTTACCTAGTACAGAGTTGGTATTCTATGTATAAAGTTAACCAAAGATGGATCTTACTGGGGAATGGGACTGGGAATGGGGGTGAGGGTGGGACTGTTGGGGGGGGGGGGGAAGGCAGATATGGTGGGAAGAATCACTATATTCCTAAAGTTGTACTTATGAAATGTATAACGTTTGTATTCCTTAGATAAAATGTTTCTTTGGGAATAAAAAAATAGCACACTGGGGCAAGCATTGTGGCAT